AAGTTGCCTCTTTTGACCACTGTACATTTTCTAGGCAAGGTGATAATTTTTCACAATAGGAATGTGTTCCGTCTTAAATAAGTGCTGTTGTAAAACCAAAAGATTTTACTAAAGTCTGTCATGTGGACTTAAGAATTTTTAAGATTAATATCTCCCTTAGTTCCCTTCCCTGCCTATCTATCTCAGCCCTCTCTTTTCTGTTCAATTCCTCCCTCATAGCCCTTTCCCTTCTTATAAAATCTTGCCTCAACTCTGCTCACCAATCTTAGCCTTAACCCACCAGTATCCGGTCTTTCAAAAAAGTTAAGTGCATTAAGAAAATACAAATGTATGATGTTGAAGTGTAAAATCATGTTACTCATTGTTACTGAGCTATGAAGGTTTAAGATGATCAGCATATATGTTTATACTATGTACCTTATCATGGAGAACACAAAGAAGCCTCATATCTTCCAGGGCATTGACAGCTTTAAATACAATAGCTGGAGCTTTTAAAGCCACCAGGTCTGCTTGCTTGTATGAAGGCAAATCTGGCCAGGCAGCTTTGGAAGTTGGGAGTGTGTCCCCAAACCCCTCTATGATCCCTCTGAACTTTTTGTTCAGACCTGATTTTTGTCCCTTACAAGACATGGATTGTCGAATGAATTGCCTGGAATAAAGGTTATTTCCACTTTTTGTATTATTGCTACAGTGCTATACAATACTTAAGTAAGAGATTTATAGCTGGTTATATTTTCTTTGTAATCCTTCCCCCTTAGGTATCTAAAAAAAGCTTGAAAACATACCACTTTTAGGATTCCAGGATAAATGGACTTACATGCATTTTTTATGTTCATATATGCCCTTCTCTTGACATTGTTGAATGTGACATCTTCCAGGGCCCTTTTCTTTCTGGTTTTACATTTGTCTTGTAAAGCTTTTTTTGGCCTATAAACAAGTGAAAAAATTAATTAAAACATATCATTTGATGGATATGTACATACTAAGAGTGTATTATGAATAGCCTTGTCCATCAAATAATAAAAATAACAAGATCCATTTAAAATCCCTATGTTTTTTGATTTATTCAGTTGTCTACATAAGCGTAAAATGCAATGTAGTCATAGATCCTACATTATTCAAACTATTTTTATCCTACTTACACTACTTGTCTTTGCGCACATTTATTTATAAGTTTATAACAGTTTTCACATAAACTTGTCAGAAGGAGTTTCTCAGTCTTTGGACCAAGGTATTGGTCTAATTCGCCTGAATCACCCAAAATATGTCATCATATTATATCCGATCATTTACTTAAAGAAAAGGCTCATTCTTAATCAATAAATAAAATTAACCCTAAATCCCATATATTCATTTTACGATAAACTATAAACGTCAGTATTAACTGGTATAAATATTACCTAATATACTTTTTCCTGTATTAATTGGCACCAATATAACAGTTGTTTCAACATTTTGGACCAGAGTCCATGATGATTTTAAGAACGATCCTTTAACCACAGCACCTAGATGAAACAAAAAATTCAAAGTTGATTTCCTTGGTTCAACTCTCTACAACTTCCTGGAACACATCTTAATATTATCAAAGATCTGTTACTACTTAAAGAAAACATGACTAATAATTGTTTGACAGCCCACCAAAGACGTAATCAGCCTTGTGTCTTTTAATTTTAAATCATACATACGTTGTACAAAATACCCTGCTTGTGCATTTCTTGAGGCACTAAACAAAATCCTTCTTACTTGTCTTTAGAACTTCCCCCATTGGCTCTTGCCTACTGTGCCTAAATGAATGCCTGATTATTTCAATGGTCCATGCTCTTCAACATATGACATATTTGGAAATTAACAAGGGACACTCCTATACTGCTTGTGACACATCTTTCTATGAGGCATGCATTGATTTTGGTTGAGCAACTTTGCATGGCACCACATTCGATCTTTCCATCCATGTTTTTATTATTGGTTTTGATAGTCTTTTTGTGCGGTTCAGATTTATTTTTTTGTGATGTCTAAATGTTCTATTGTGATTTGTCCATTGTTGGTGTAATGCTGATGTGGTGTACATTTCAAAATGTTTCTGGTTATTAGTAATAGGATGACATTCTGGAGATGTAGGAGGTAGATCTGAGCAGTGTTTTGGGTTCTTGAAAGTGTTGATGATCTGGGCATGTTGAGATGACCGGTGTTGGAGATGTAAGTGAAAATGTAGATTTAGTAGGTGGTATCCTTGTTTGGGTCTTAGATGACATCTGAGCCTTTGATTTGACTTGCTGTTTCATAGTTGGCTGAATCAGACTTAATAATAAGCCAAGCTTCTTGAGCATGGAGTTGAGATGACATTACTTCCGGTAAAGTTGCAGTGGGTGGCAATATAGAAAGGTCATCTAAAAGCAAAAAATAAAATATATCTGGAATCTGGAAAACAAAATGTTAACATGTGAGACTTTTAGTCCAAATATTTTCATTCAATCAGAAAACTATAGGATGTAGTATAGTAAGGCTCGTTGAACTAATTGATGGGTACATTATTCTAAATGAGTTTTCTTAAAGAATTCAGAATTCAAAGATCGATTGCATGTAGGTATTACATTAAATGTCTATTCAGCAATCAAATTGCAAGCAAAAATATTTTTGGGAAAAAATTAACTTTAATACATATGCAGCGGTACTTTTTGTGTTATAAAATATACCAGTATTTTAATTATGATAAAAATACATTATTTAAACAAATGCATTAATTTTTTAGTAAGTTCCTCTATTAAGCAATCAATCTTGAAATTGATGCCTTAGAAACAGGAATCTGCTCACAACAAAAATTCAAAGATGTCTATTGGATTCAAAATGGCTGCCTTATTTTGTATACATACCTGTATCTCATCAGTGATATCACCATGTGGTTCTCTCTTGCGTTTAAGAGGTGTACTTATATCCATTATGAAAAGTAAGTAAAGCAGGCATGGTATATAATGCATTTCATTGAAGAATTTTTGCTGAATTCCTCATTGTAGCTCCTGATGTTGAATCAACCTCAATTGAGTTGTTCTGGTTATCTACTTCTACACTCTGATTACCATATCTTTAGTGAGTGCAAATAGGTGTCACAACAATTTCTCAGCTGGACAGCCTTAAGCACCACTGGTGTATTAAAATACAGTACAATGCAAATATCAGTTTGACATTGCAAATAGAGACAACAAACATTTTAAACAAAAGTTTTAACCAATATTCATCTTCAGAATAAATATTTGTTTTAATTTATACTTACTTTCACCATCAAACATTTTCATACATTAATAATAAACTAAAAATCATTAGACAAGACATGATTTTGTCATGATATGTGTTATTTCAGGAGAGGCATGTCATGAGTGTTTAGTGTCACAGACAAAGAGTCCTGGACACCGATTCGCGCCGACTTACGTAGACAGACAGCAATAGTCTCAAAACCATGGAATTTACAATTATAATAAGATTATAGGTAGTACTGATATTGATTATAAAACTTATTGAAAGTTTAATTTTGTATTTATGTGAACAATAGGGCAAAAGGATAGGATAACAGCACAAAACTCTTGCATCAAATTATGACACAATCCAATATGTGTTTTCAAAGCAAATATTTTTTTCAAGATTCAATAAAGTTTTTCAGAAATGGTCATCATCTGACCATAGACCACCAAAATGAGTTAGGTCATTAGTATGTTGTTTCATCTTTTTTTGATTGATGGTTTTTATTTTGTTCTGTGATTTTTGTTTACTCTCTCGAAATCTTTTTAAATCAGGGGCATTTAGTTAAAAGCCATTCACTTGGTTTATTCTGTATCCACATTACCATGGCTGCCATTCCACTATTAGACACAATAGGCTTAGTTGTTCTTTGAGTCAGTAATTAATTTGGTAAGATATGCGTTTTGCTTTTTAAATTGGTTGATGTTTAAGTCATTGCTGTCCTTTTTCATTTTTTTGTACAATTTATCTTTTTTATTGAGAGCTGACTTGATATCCTTGTTGAACTAGGGCATATATTGTTCATAATCATGAAACTCTGTCTATCCTAGTTTTTAATGTGTTAATAACATACTTACCAGTGCAAGAATCAAATCTTTTCTTCTTCGTAGTGATCCCCCAACAGTGGAGAGTATATCTCCATGGAGGAGAGTGTTGGGAGAAACATGAGCATTGTCTGCCTTCGAAAGTAACTGCAACAAAAGATGAAAGTCAGTTAAATGTTTCAGGGGATGCAATCATATTTTGAAATTCATTTTACACTTAATAATCTGCAAAAGGCTAATAAGCCCATATAGAGCAGATATATAATTTAACAGTGATAGAATTTGAATATAATATAATTTAAAACCTTAACATTTAAAAAT